TGCAATACCATCATAAACTGTTGATCCATCTATATTTGCCACAATGGCTTATGAAAACCAATGATAAAATAACATTTTACTATCAAATGAATCTTTCAGACCACTACGGACAATTCTTTTACTTTAAAAAATTAGTTAATTTTCAAAATCAATTTATTTTAAAACTTGTTTTGGAAAGGTTCTAACTAATAAAATTGGACAAATTGAGTTTTCACGAATAAATCACTCACAACAAAGTTACCTATGTTTCAAAAGAATTTGGTACCATCAGGTGAAAAACAAATAAATTAGAAGTGGGACATAGTTCTAACTACTGTCAACTTCTGAAATTGATTAGTTTAAGAAGGTTCTGCAATACGGTACATAGTAGGTAGTGTTGCCCATATTCGAGACCGAGACAAATCTTGGTCATGGTCTTGGTCTTGCGCAAGACTCTCGCAACAGTCTTGCAGTTACTTATTAGCTTATTACTATACAGATATTACTGTGATTTTTTAGATAAGAGAAACTTAACTAAGCCTGAATGAAAAATTAAAGAAGTTAAATGCAAAAGTATATTGGTTACACCAATTATTTACATAAAGTAACTAAGATTGTCAAGTGTTAGTAAATATTTTGTCTTAATTTTTATTCAAAAAATCGATTTTTTTACCAGTCCTGGTCTTGGTCTTGCAACAGTTAGGAGGCCTTGGTATTGGTCTTGAAAAGTGCAAGACCAATACCGATTTTGGGTAACACTAATGGTAGGGTTAACAGTTATGGACAGGACACCCAGTGATGGACAAGTTGGACTTTAAATGTAAATAATAAGCTTCCTTGTTGATTTCTCTATCATTGTTAATATTTCTGTATTGCTCTTGAGATCAGTATGATTCATATCTTCCTACTGACAGTTTTCTATGAGTAAGTAGAACATTTATGTTATCTTATCTTTATCGTTATATTTATACTTAAATGAAGATTTTTTAATTGTTCTAAGGTATGTTGTTGGTACCGAACCACTGTTCAATACTAGAACAATTGATTTTCGGAGTGTCCATTACTAAATGAACTAACTAACAAACAAAACTAGTGCAAAAAGGTGTTTTTTTTTTTTTAATGGAGATTATATCTGAATAACTGATTTTTTTCTACAACTTATAAAGTGTTAAATACAAAAAGGAGACCCTAGAGATTCTAAATGTCCAACAGAGGAGTTTATAACTATAATAATTACGGTGACATAGGCGAAAAATGACATAAATTTAGTTATTTTATTGAGAATTAAGCATGAAATTATATATTTTATGTTCTCTATCTGTATAATATATTTGAATCGGTTGTTTTTGAATCGTCTTATGAGATATTATAAGAGTGTTTTGACACACCACGAAAATCAATTATTTAAAATTTTAGAAGGTAAAAATCCCAAATAAATATATATAGTGTAAACAAACAAATTTTAAATGAACACACACATAATTAAACAAGCAGGTTTGAGCAATCCATGTATCATATAAACAATGGTTTAAAATTATATTATTACATTTAAAGTAAATAACCTTTATTTCATTTAACTTAAAAATGATTAAAAAAATTCAATAAATCCGTTTTTAATAAAAACAGAGTACAAAATATTTTTTTTTTAATTTGGTTTTTCGATTCTATGCAAGCTCTATTAAAAGAAAACCTCAAATTTTAGAATAGTATACATTCTTTTTATTGGCCGATTTTTAATTTCACTTACCTCTATATGATATATACATAGGTAAGTGAAATCCGTCCCCCACAAGGCCGACGGGGCATAATCCTTCCCCTCGATCCCTCCTAAGATATTTTATTCCCCTCTTCTTCTTAAAAAATAGTGCAAACGAAAGTAGAATTTAAATATTCGTAGATAATACACCATCACACAATCCGGTTGCCAGGCAACTCCCGGTGCTGTGCATACGCTTTAGCCCATTCGGCCACCCCACCCCCTATCATTACACATCCTGTGGTCTTTTCCATGATCCCACTTGTCTTTTGATTTGAAAGTTCATAACCTTGTCGAAGTTTGTCACCTTCAGAAATTGAAAACCCCCTCAAAAAGTGCCCCCTCATTAACTATGATGGCGCAACTTGTGTCATAAAACTTGCTTCTGGACGATCCACTATTGCGCTTGTGAAAATGTTGAATTGTCGGATTTTTTAAAAAGGTTTTCCTCGCTACTATACCATCTCTTTCAAATTAAATTAAAATATAATTGTTGATTAATCATAGCCTGTTGTAGTTATATATTTTTTTTTATTTGAAAAAAAAATACATTCTGCCTCATTGGAGGGCATTAATATTAGAGCTACATTAAACATTCACACAATATATAAATACAAATGATAACATAGGTAAAAAAAAAAACAAGAGGAAAGAAAAAAAGCTGAATGAAATTAAAATATATAAAACACATTCATACCATTTTCATAAGATTATGGTTGGGGTGATCAGTCAAAAAAAGAATAAATAAATTGAATGAATTTTTATTTCCTTTATGCTGAAGTTTCTGCGTGAATTTCAAGCCTTTGTCAGGGCTAAGAAAAGACAAGATAATATAAATATGATAAATGAGTAGAGGTTAATTATAATAATATGTATATAGAAAAAAGGTATATTCTAATACATGTCAGTTTGTAAATTTAAAATTAATAAATACGTGTAATGGAAATATACAGAAGGTCCCGTAAGTAGAGGGAAATGTTTAAAAGATTATTAGTAGATATCAAGATCTACAAGAAAGTTTATATAAACAATTGCACAACTTCCAACTCAAAAGTAGGAAATTTAAGATTTGTGTTTTTTTAAGGGACCCACGTTTTTGTTGAATAAAAAGCGATAACTTAAACAATATTTCATTTAAATAATTAAACAATCCTCCGTATTAAACTAGATAAAATTTACTTTAAAAGAAATAAGAGTTTGTCATTGTTAAAACTATTTACAGAGGGCTTTTGAGCGGACAAACACAGTTAAGTTCCGTTTAAAAAAAGTTATAAATTATTTGTGATTTGTTTAGTATAAATCTTAAACTGTACTACATTTATCCCATTTTTAGAAAATCTTTCTCTTTTAATAAGCTGTTAGTTCATATTGATTAAGTGGAGGTTTATAAGGAAAACATTTGAGATACACCCCAAGTTGTGTGTAAAGCATTGACTTGATTTCGTATCCAGTCACCTTTAAGTAGCCATGTTTTCTGCCAAGATCATTACAATTAACTGTTGTAAGGTTTTTTTGTTGTTTTACCGTGATATGGGGTGTTTTTTAATAAGCATAATTGCCTATTAACACATTTTATTAATAAAAATATTTTTTTCAATATATTTCAGGTAAAGTGGTTATGAAACAGCGTTTTTCTCAAAAATCTCCGTTATAGGAATTGATATGTATTTATCAGTGACAAACTTAATGTTTCTTAATAAAATTTAGATTTAAAATATAGAAACCTACTGATAGCTTTAATTATTTTCATTAAAACGTAAATATTAGGGCTAGAAACATTAAGTTTATTGCTTATACAATATGCATCAATTTCTATGACAGAAATATGAGAGAATACATCATTTCAAAAATACCTTATATGAATATCTAAAAAATCATCAGTTTTTTTTTATGAATAAAATGTGTTTTTAGGCAACTATGTTGATTGAAGTACGTCACATATCTCGAAAAACAAGAAATAAAAGCTTTGCAACTGTTAATTGCAGACATTTTTGCTTAAAACAGCTACTCTTTTATGTGAATGAGTGTAATATCATATCATTTCTTTCCACAACTTGAGTGTAAATCAAAATTTAATCAATATGGACTTAAAGCTTATTAAAAGAGAAAGTTTTTCTAAAAGTCGGGTTAAGGTAGTACAGTTGAATGGTGATTGAAACAAATCAAAAATAACTTTTTATTTGTTATATAAATTAGGCCAGTATTCACCAACATTTTATTTATTAGCTATTTTATTAGGACGTTTCGACCATCGCTAGGGCAGTCTTCAAGTCTGGAAAATTGTAATGTCATTATTAGTTAACATTTTACATTTACAAAAAAAAAAATTTTTTTTTTAGGTATTTATATTGTCCTCTATTGTTTATAATATTCAATTGTTATTAATGAGTAAATTTACGTACATGAAAGGTTTTTATAAGAAAAATTATACAAATCTATGAGTATTAAAAATGTTCTTTCTGTCTCCTGCTCCCTCTTACCTGAGCAACGAAGATTAAGAAGAAAATGGCCAAGAGACCTACTACATAAATAAAAACATCAACATAAAAAAACCAAGCAATTACACCAAGACAATAAAAACACAACAAATTTGCTAGATGCGCAGCTGCGCAGGTATAAATTGCATAAAATAAAAAATAAATAAATAATGTTATGACATAGATCGTTAGATAACCTAATTATGTAAAATAAAAAAAAAATTAGTAAATGTAAAATGTTAACTGATAATGACATTACAATTTTCCAGACTTGAAAATGGCCCTAGTGATGGTCGAAACGTAATAAAATAGCTAATAAATAAAATGTTGGTTAATAATGGCGTAATTTATATAACATCAATTTTAGTAATAATGAACAGAAAAAATAATTTATGATTTTTTTTTTTAAACGGAACTTTGCTGTGAAGCTGTGAAGAACTTTGTCCGCCCAATAGTCAATAAGTCCATCTTATCACCAGTTTAAGGATCTTAAAAATTACAAAGAATTATTTAATATATTCTTTATTTTTGATTAAAACATCAACAGCAAATATATACATGCTATTATAAGTAACAATAAACAATAAAATATTTATTTACAAAGCACGTTTAACAAAAACAAGCGTAGATTAGTAATTATAGGAACAGTTGAGCATATCCTAAGCTTTGGTCATTGTTTGAAATGTTTGCCTAAAACATCATTTCATAAATATATAATCAAGTGGAATCTATCATAAGACGTATTTTTGGTCCATCATACGATAAATATATATCACAGTAAGGAAACGTTACCAACGTCCAGAATCAGAAGAGGTGTCTGATTGCCCATGACTAGATTCTCCTGCAGAGGAGCCAAAGTTTGAATGTTCTTGACTTTCGAATTTCTTTGCATCCGCAGAAGAATACGATGAGCCATAGTTTGAAAGTCCTTGGTTTTCAAATCCTTTTGCATCTGTAGAAGAGTACGATGAGTGATAGTTTGAAGGTCCTTGGTCTTCAAATTCCTTTCCATCCGTAGAAGAGTACGATGAGCCTAAGTTTGAAAGTCCTTCAAATTTCTTTGTATCGGTAGAAGAATACGATGAGCCACTACCGAAGCCTTTAGGGTATTGATGATATGATGATCCAGAGTCCTGGAAATAGCTCTTCAAATTTTCTTCTCCAGCGTTTGATATTCCTTTTCCAAAACCGCTTGCAGTATCTTGTTTGTAATCAGTCTGTTGGCCTGATGAATAATATCCTTTACCCTGAAAGTCGCTGTTGCCAAAATATCCTCCATCTTTTGTTACTTCAGGAGATGATTCAATGGTATAGCCCGGTCCGTACGAGCCATGAAACTGACTTCCTTCGTTCTTAGACAAACTTCCTAATTGTACGAACTGAGTAGAATAAGCTCCTCCGAGATGTTTCGTCGAATAAGAATGCTGCATACCATGGGAACCTCCATAGTGGTCAAAAGTTGGCATTTTACTTTGAAAGTAATTCTCTCCTTCATTTTGTTCGGATTTTGATCCTTCTACTGGGTAAGGTACTTCCACCTTGTAAGGAACTCTGACTGGGTATGGTACCTCCTTGTAAACTGGGTAAGGTACTTCCTTCTGCACATGATAAGGCACCGGCTTCTCTACTTGGTAAGGCACTGGCTTTTCAACTGGTACTTCAACTTTGTATGGCACTTCTTTGACAACTGGGTATGGTACTTGTTTTTCAACAGTATAAGGTACAGGATATTTCTTCTCTACTGGGACTTGAACTTTGTAAGGCACTTTTTTCTCGACTATGTAAGGAACCTTCTTCTCGACGTAGACATTGTACGGCTGTGGTACTTCGACCGGATAAGGCTTATCGACAGGGACTTTTACTTCATAAGGTATTTTCTTCTCTACTACGTAAGGTTTCGGAACAGGAACTTGTACTTCATACGGTACCTTTTTCTCGACGTAGACAGGATATGGCTTAGGCACGTAGACCGGATACGGTTTGTCAACAGGAACTTTGACTTCGTAAGGTACGTGCTTCTCCACTTCTACCGGAACAGGTTTCGGAACCTTCTTCGTCACGACGATGCTCTTGATGTGTTCTAAATGTTCGTGGTGGTGCTCCTTCGGTTTCTCGTCACTTTTCCATTCTGCGGAAACGCATGTGCCCAGAAGGCATAATATTGCGATGCTACTGAGATGCATGTTTGACTGCTCGTTGCTAAGATGCCGACAGTATATATAGTTCCCTGCTCCAGTTGCTATCCCCACCACAGTTCGTTAGCATACCGGAGAGAAAGAGGAGCACACATGATACAATTAGCGGAACGCCCATGATTAGCTGGACCATCATTACTGGAGTGTTGTTAACGATTGCTAATTACGGTTTCCTTTAATTACAGTCTTATATCCGTTGGATATATTCTTGATTAAAAACCAAATATATTTTGTAATTAAATTAACCGAGACACGTTATGTTGCAACACGTTAAATAAATATTACATTTAATGTTTATTAATGATTTTAAAAAAATTGAACAAAATTGCGGTTAGGACTTAAGACCACACGATAAACTGAACACATCAACGAAACAGGATTAGTAATATGAGATACTAGGTGGCCCGTGCGAATAATAATTGTTTAGTAAAGAAATAGCAAAACAATATGCAAATAAGTAGATCCAATGTATTATGTAAGAAAGGAATTAATATGTTTTTCTTGGTTGATTACAATATTCCATTTTAACATAACTGACCAAAATATTTGTACAAATTGTTTTTCTGACAGGAAAGATAATAAAAGTAAAAAAGACAATATAATGCAGCGATCATGGGATTTTCTTTATCAAATAATAAATTTAATTTATCAGCCAGGAAAAAAAGTGTAGTAGACTATTCTACTCCTAAATGCAATATTTTTAAAGAGGAAGACATTATTAAGTATATTAAAACTAATGGACTGTATCTTTGTTAATAATTGTCCGATTTTTAAATTTTTTTTTGTTTTTTGTAGATAATTTAGTAATCTTTCTAATTATCATGGGTACAATCGAGAAAAAAAATGCATACTTTTTGAGTTATTCGTAAATAAAGTTTATTTTCCTGCATAACTTTTTTCCTAGAAATTTCGAGGGTATAGGACTATTTTTCGCATGTGAAGGAGAAAAATATCTTCAAAATGAGTGGTCATCATTGGATTTGATAAAGAATTGACGAAGTTATGGCGTACCGACAAAAAAACATCTTTCAGAAATAATATATAGGATATTTTTTTTTTTTTGTTCTTTATTCATAAAGTATAATACTTTTTGTTTAATATATGAAACTTTTTTTTTAAAAATAACTTCTGTAACAGGGTCAGTAATTTATTGAAAGATTACCGAGTGCAAAATAAAATCGAATAGAAACACTTAATTTCTTATTTTTCGAATAATTAAAAAGATATCTATATTGATTTTTGCTAATTGGTTTTTGAATTGCCCATAATATATAAATGTTGAGATATTTTAGTCCAAATGTTCAAAACATTGGTTATCATTGTGTTGTTCTTTTTGTTTTGTTTTTTTTACTTTTTTTCTTTTCCGACTCTTTAACGCGGAAGCGTATACAATATACAATTTTCAATTTGAATTCCTTAAAAAGAGAATGAAATTCTGAATATTTCCTTTAGTTACAGTAAGCACGTCCGATTTTTTTGTTTCTGAGGTACCTTAATCCAAGTGTAAAAATTAGTCGATTCGGGCCGACTTTACCCGAATGAACATTACAAAGCCGAACCGTAATACCGACTGAGCCGTAAGTCTTATTGAATACCCACAATATAAATTTCTAAGTGCACCTAAAAAATTATTTAATGAACATAATCAGCCCTTTATATATCGACCATGAAAATTGCTGAAATCGTTATATATAAACTAGTTATTAACTTAGATTAAGTGACTCTTTTTTCATTAGTTCATAGTTTTGGCTATTCTTCAGTAATTATTTTTTCTCACTTGTTTCCCATAGGTCCACTTCGCTAAACACTCATAATTTTCATTATTTTGTTTATTTGTACGTTTGGAGAATATTATGTCTCTCTAGAATATCATTTGCCATAACATCGAGCCAGTCCTCTAAAAAGCTTGGCCATAGTCCTAGAGCTCGTGAAAAAAAAGGTGTCATATTTCATACAAAGATTTATCCTTATAAATTTACCATATCCACTGACCAGAAAAGAACACGTCTGCCAACATATAGCCGCTGGCATACATAATGGCGGCCAGGTGAATATAGATAGAGACCCTATATAGCTAGTAAACATGTATATAGAGAGAGCTTATTGATATATAAAGCTACCAATCCTTTCTATATTTATAGTATTTACAGTCATGAGACATGAAATAATAGTCAGTTATCCCATACCAGTGGATTTCAAGTCGAAAAATTGAATTTACGGTTACTAAAGTTTACTTTTCCGTTTATATCAGTTAAACTATGCGTTCTATCTACTATAATGTCATATGTGAAATTGATGCAGACAATATTTTCGATAAGGCTTATCGACAGGGACTTTTACTTCATAAGGTATTTTCTTCTCTACTACATAAGGTTTCGGAACAGGAACTTGCACTTCATACGGTACCTTTTTCTCGATGTAGAGAGGATACAGCTTAGGCATATATCAGTTATTTATATCAGTTAAACTATGCGTTCTATATACAATAATGTCATATGTGAAATTATTGCTGACAATATTTTCGATATAAATGGTTATATTAATTTTTTCGTTATATTCTATAGTTCTTACAATAAAATAAATTATTTTTAATTTTATTTCGAATAAAAAGCTTGAATATCTTTTGATGAATTTCTGTTTAATTCTTAAGAAATGCAAATATCTTTGTATTACAATAAATTTATTTTAACGCTGCTTTTTTAAATATTGAAAACAAATAATTTTCCCATATAGACTCATTAAGTTTTTTTTTTAAAGTAATCGATTCTCATCATTTTGAAAAAAATCTATCATGGTTCACATTGGAAGTAAGCAAATGAAATCATCCTTTTACACATTTTAATATGGGACTTCTTTAGAAAATATATATATATATATAAATGTTATTTTCAGAAATCTAATTAAAATAGTTTATTACAGAATTTCAGAAGTTACTTCCCTGAGGAATTTATTGGCATTGTCAGGGATGAAATAGGGCATTGTGGATCCCACTTATAGTTAATAATTAATGGAGGAGGAAACCGGGAGATCATGAATTTAGCGGGAAACATCCCGTTGGGTAATCCCAGGGCGGTATTACTATTCAATGGGCGGGGCATGCAACATTGACTAGCCACTGTCCCAGGTGTGATTCCACCTTGAATGGAACACCACCCTATTCCTCCCATCTAATGTCATCCCACGGGGTCTTGGCTGAAGAGGGATTAGCACCACTCCTTAGTAACCACTGTGAGCAATATATTAATGGTTTCTAATTTAGTGAGAATAATTTATTAATTTATTTTGTTGTGAGCATAGTGTAGTAATTATAACATTATCTATAATTATAAGGAGGGAACTATTTTAACAACGTAAATATGTTATAAGGTAAATATTTTAACAAGGTGAATACTGTATATACTCGAAACTGTTGTTGGAGTAGTAATAGGGGTCAATGGCTGATCTCAGTTAAAGACATTTGGAGGGAATTGAATATAAATTATAATATATATATATATAAATTATAGAGTAATAACATAAATTATTACTAGCTGATATACCCGTCGTTGACGGTTGTATAGTTAAAATTTGAGAATCTTTTTTTGAGATGGATTTTGTATTATGGAGGAGGGTCCAAATTTAATTTCATAAAATTAAATCCGGTCCGGGATTTCGGTTTTTTTTTTTTTTTTCGCTGGGTTCTGAATCGGGATCTCTAGACAAATTACTCAGGAATTCCTAAAGGACAAAACGTCACGGAATTTCGGATTTTTCCCGTTGAGTTGTGATCATTTTTTCCATCAGTTTAATTGTACAACATTTAAATGAGGCTAATCGATTCTGATTGGGATGAGAATCGAAGTAACTGCCTAACCGGGATCTCTAGACAAATTACTCAAGAATTCATAACTTTGGTTCTACTCAATATTTTATTTTTACTCAAAGCCTGTTTTAAGTCAAACAAACCAAATTATAATGTAAACATTTTAAAAGTCTACCATTAGCCATTGCTGACTTTCTCGCTGACTAAATAACATTGGACATTGAATCATCAGTGTAAAATTAGGACTTGATCGGAATATTGTGGCGGTGGGGATGAACTGTTTGCGAGTGTTTTTTTCCGATTTACGGATAATCCGTTTGGTTAATCCTAAAAATGTATTTGACAACATTTGTTGAGCTCGAGAGGTTTAATCGAATGACACCTTGAACGAGAAGAACGGACAAAGTTGATAAATGACTGTTTTATTTGTGGTTTAAGCGACAAAACGTCACGGAATTTCGGATTTTTCTCGTTGAGTTGTGATCATTTTTTCCATCAGTTGAATAGTACAACTTGTAAATGTGGCTCGCGGTAGAGTAGGTTGGGATGAGAATCGAAGTAACTGCCTAACCGGGATCTCTAGGCAAATTACTCAAGAATTCATAACTTTGGTTCTACTCAATATTTTTTTTTTTAAATTAAAACCTTTGTTTTAAGTCAAGCAAACCTAAGTATAATGGCAACATTTCAAAAGTGTACCATTTGCCATTGCTGAGCTTACCCCTGATAAAATTCCGCTGGACAATGCGAACATACAGACAGACAAAAAATATTTTAAAAGTGGATTTGGTGTCTCTAATGTATGAAACGGAAAAATATCATAAAATGAGTTGATTCTATTCAATGTACAGGCAAAATCTTTTTTTTATTTATATAGATTGTGTTATTATATAACATGTATTTAGGAGTATTGTTGTTAAAAGTTGGTTTGAAATAGAAAAAAATTGCTTGGAAATTTATTTTAACTATAATAACAGAAACTTTTTTAAAATATTTTTTTTTAAAGGTATGTTTGTTTAAGTCTGTGTATATAGTATACTATGGGGATAAACAACTTATACTGTAGGTGGGGGAATTTTTTACATTAGAGGCCGCAGTGAGGTTAGGCTGTGCTAATGAGGCCGCAACATTCCTTATATTTTACTGTTGATATTTTTATTTATCACAAAATACACACACCCACATA